AACGTTTTAGAATGTTCATTGAAGCATTAAATAAAGAATGATGTTGACCTGATCAGCATCCATACTGATATCACCGTCTAAATTAACCGTATACATAACCTGAATTTCTCCTCCAAGTTTCCCCGTTATTCTGAAATGCGGATTGATAAAGATAACATTATCAATAAGATTTCAAAAGGTGTTTTTCTCAACTCGTTTAGGGCTTTTATTCGCAGAACTGCTCCTTTATCCATCAATGCGAACATTTATGTGGTTATGATACATGCTGAAACTTTAGATACCAGTAATACAGTAATTTCATTTCAGCTTCTTTGCAGAATTTTGAGATATTATCACTTTGAAGCAATTGTTTGAGTAGCAGAAAATTTTATGTGAAAAAATATGTGAAAATGTATGTGAAAAAATCATCAATTTCTAATCAGATCCACTTCACAGTAAGATTTTGAACTGATATTCGGAGTCGATCGTTCGGAAATGGATTAATTGAGACGTATTGGGGACACTGATATCGCGCTACGCGTATTCCGTAGACTTTTACACATCCACCCACCTGAATTGATATCAATGCAAGCTCATCGGAATACAAATAAGATTGAACATTGCACAACAGATTTTGAATTAGACTGAAAAGGTCTTGGTTTAGCATCGTGTCGATAAATACTAACAGTTGACAATTATTTACCTGCCGAGATCAAAAGATTGATGAATCGAGCTACCAAAAGTTTTTCAATGCTGTAAGAAACAACGTTCAAAATTTAGCGGTGAAGATTTAAGGCTTGATGCTCTTGCTAGATCGGCACTATATTATTTTAGTTTATGTCATGCAAAGTTCACAGCTCACTATGCTCCAAAAACGCTGCCCTGACTTTGGAAGCAATCAAACTGCAGACGAGATAGACCGAATTATTTCTTTTGCACACAAAACAACCATTTTGCTGCACATTGCGAGCTGTTCACGACTTCCATGAGATTCTGTCAAACACTAAGGGTGAATTTCAGTGTTAAAGAGAACCTCTTCTAGACATAGATTGATGTCGGGAATTTGTGCACGTGCGATTTGCTGAGTGAGGATATTAGCTGCTTTAACACTAGCGTAACGAAACATCGCTGCATTTGCGCGCACTCGTATACCAGGATATTGCCGAGAACCACCCAACAGCAACGGATTGAAATCCAATGAATCCATCATCGCCATCCTCAAAACCAGATTTATTCATCTATTTTGACGCAACGTGTGTGCGTTTGAAATGCGAATTGGAAATTTGAACTGGGAATTTCCATACAAGTTTAATCGAAGTGAACATCTATTTATTACCTTTCATTGTAGGCAGTAACGGGAGCCTTTGCTCTGAACACTTTGTAGTCAGCAGACCGGGTGTGGTATGTTGCGAATTCACTCGACTTGTTGATGATTGCGAATGACAGCAGCAGCAGCAGCCATATCTGGACGAGAATATTCGTATCATTTCATGGAACTGTCATAAGAGAATGTTGGCGATTTGTGATGTACTAGGCAAACGTTATCTTACTCCCGGCTTACGAAATTCGGTTTAGTATCTGTGTACAATGAGAATGCTATGAGATCTCCCCACGGGAATTTCAGCCTTCCCATGAGATCCCTTCATTGTCTGTCTCCGTTCTTCATCGTTCAGTTGCTGATGAACTCCCCGTGAAAGTCCATCTATTGCAACGCTGGAAGCTGAATTGGTTGCCT